CAATTTTGCAATATAATAATGATTGAAAAAACAAAAAGAAATCTTTGTATAATTCTAAAGATATTTTGAGTTACTAAACTGACGAAATAAACAATCTTCACTTGCAAGAATACGAATTCTGCCGAAATTTTAAGCAGAGTTGTAAATTGTACTATAAAAGATATCTCGACCACCAAGTTATTTAATTATCAACTTGCTCTTTGAACTAATTTTTTTTTACTCCAATCTAATTCTTTCAACATAAGAATCAATCTTCAATTACCACTTTTAATCTGCATTCTACGTATGGATTTAAAGTTTCGGGTTATTCTGAATTAGGGCTTAAATGTAATTTTGACAAAAATAAATATTGTATATAAATAAATAACCACCACAGTATAATCATTACATACAATTTAGACCATACACGTGGTTGGCCTTTTATGTTAGCATTACAATACCTTGAACTATACCTTATCTTTTAATACACACTCCTATTTTTAATGATTACGCGAACATATATAATACCTCATATATGTTTGACAAAAAATTCGAAACATCGTTTCATCGAAGTATAAACTTTTATCGTACTATAACTAATTTCTTTAAAAATATTAATTTAATTTGTACCTCCAGCGTTGAAGTTATTCGTGAATCATTACTTCGTTTGACAGAAAATTCAAAATCACGAAAGTTTTGAATGGTGATGCTTATTATATAATGTTTAGTCCTAACATATTGCTTAAATTACAGCAAAAAAAAATAATAGTTTAGGTATGAACTAAGATATGAAACTCTAAATTTCTCTTTTTCAATGACATTTAATTTGACTTTATTTTAAATACTATATTCGTTGACTCAAAGATAGACACGTGTCTCATTTTATAAAGCAAAATAAATATTTCATAATGTGGAGAAATCATCAACTAATTTTTTTCTTTCTTTCTTTCTTTCATCATTTTGTTTGGAGGAAGAATCATGAAAAAGAATGGCTTTCCACTTATTTGATAGAAGGGCGGTCCATTCGAAGTAAAATAATTGAGCATATAGTACATAAAAAATCCTTATTCTAGATTTAGCACTTAAGGATTTTTTCTTTTGATTTTTATAAAATCGAGCAATTCAGTCAAACTCCGTAACTTGTAAAATATTTTGAGAGCCCACCATTTTCGACGTTTTTTTATTAGGTCAAACAATTTCTAATCATGTTTTCATAAGAATATATGTCTAACAATAATTCCCCCAAATAATGGTGGTGAAATAGTGTCGCGTAGGTCAAAAAGTTACGTTTTAATAATTCAACATGATGTCAATTGTATAGGATATTACCACTTCTTCGATGTTGTCTTCCCACTTTACTAAAAAAAGAGTGTCATCGATTTAGTATTGTTTTATTATATACAAGACATATGAGCTCTTCTAAGCGTTCCTGCGGGTGATGCGACTCTGAGACCGATTTCAATGTGCTTGGTTGGAGAGCCTTATTCTCTTTTGAATCAGATATATTCATATCTAAAAATTACTGATAATAAGTTCTTTCAAACTCGACTATTTGTAATCATAATAGAGGCGTGCCATAAATGACGTGTGTTAGAAATTTAATATTATTTGGATTAATACTTAACCCTTGTTTGACTCCCTTTAGAAAAAAAATTTATTTTTCATACTCATTTTCAATAACAAATTCACATAATAAAATATTTTACATGTAAATCCCAATTTTTTTTACTTTTAACCACACATATTCTCTAAAGAATCACTATTCAAAACATCATTTTTACACAATAATGAACATCAAACTGGGACTTAGTTTTGTTACGTATGCTTGGAGGTTCGTTAGATAATTAAATAATTTTAGCATGATTATTTGTCCCCTAAAAAGTCCACGATCGTTTTTATCACACGAAGACTTGAGTTGATCAGATCTTGTCGTCACTTACTCGTAAAAATGATGTACGTGACGTACCTTTGAATGAATTAGGTTTTAAGGCGCGGCAATGGAATCAAACCGAATCAGTCATCTCGGTTTGATGGCGATCCAATTCGAGTGGTTTCAATAAAAAGTTTTAATCTCAGTTAAAAGTAAAAATATGGAAAATTATATCAGCACTTGAAATCACGCGATGGGGAGCGTCTTTCGGAGAAAAGCTGCAACTACCAAAAGAACAACAATAAGTGGGAGGGACATAGGCGTAGGGCAGAGATGAGTGGGAAACATGTTCGTGGCTCACTCTGTCATACTCGTTTGCACGACACGCGTCTGACCTTTGTCTTCCATAATACATTTTGTGGGACACGATTCACATAAAATAATCATAGGTTATTGGTAATAAACAGTTTAAAGCAATGTAAGTGGGAATTGCCAATTTCATTTTCTCTTGAAAAATGGCAAAGTTTTTTTTTTTTTTATCTTAAAAGAATCACATCTCCACGACTCTTTAACAAGAGAAAGAGACATTTTATATTTGAATAGGATGTGTCACGTCTTTTCTTTAATTCTGTCCACTCTTAGTTAGCATAAAGTATTATTGATGTTCTTTGCACATATAGAAAGTAATATTTTTAGACCGATGATAATGTACGTAGCAAGAACAACTTAGTTGAACTAGCAAATTCGAATTTTGTGATCATAAAGATTCTAAAGTTAAGAAGAGACATTTTGTGCCTAAAAATGATTGTAACGTCTCTTCTTTAATTTTGTTGGTTCTTATTTAGCGTAAAGTATCGCTCATGTTCTCTGTATTTGAGAAAGCTTTTTACTTGAGTGTTAACGTGAAGAAATCTAATTAGTTGAACTAGCAAACTTGACGATTTCAAGTCAAATTTTGTTAACACGAGCTAACATTACTTCTTGTTTCTTAGTTTTTAATATGATTAAAAATATTATTAGCCGCTCGATTCAATGCAAAGTTTCATGACTCGTCAAGGAATAATCATTACATAGCCAAAAATCACAAAAAGATATCATAAATATCTTCAAAATTTTAAAGATGGATGGAAATAACGTTGAAATTGAACCAATAATTTAAAGATGGATGTAAAATGGATAATCCTTACATCATAGTCAACAAAAAGCGGCTGTACCGAAAGGTATAAAACAAATGCAAACAGCAAATCACCACCTGACGGCTGACTCCAACCCATCTTCTTATCCTCACCTTTGATTCAAAAAGGTTAATATTCCGCTGCCCTTTTTCATTTTTTCTTACTTTTTAACCATCGCCCTCCAACCATACAAAATGTATGCCAAATCATGTCGTATCGTGGTACGCATCACGATATCGGACAATAGCATAATGATCTATTTAGTCAACAACGGACACGAGGACAGGCTGGACTGAACTAATGTATAAAAAAATTATGCACTTTTTTTTTTAGTCCTGAATCCGTCCCTGAGTTTAGTATCGTGTAATATTAAAATTTTTTCGTTTTCACGTGTAGTGTTGTATAGTGCAATTTGAAATGTACGATAGATCTAATTTTTAGTTAAATGTTGTATATTTTTGTTGAAGTTTGTAATGAAGTTAATCCTTAATAAATCTCGGAGGTACCGCCCTCCTTTAAAAAAAAAAAAAACCATATAACTTTTCAAATATTTTTGATTAAACGTTCCTCAACATTTCTTAAAAGTTTCAGATTTTTTTAGGAAAAAAAAAAAGAAAAAAAATTTGTAAACCTTTTATGAATATTTGATACCTTCACTAGAGCTTAGAGATTTTTCTCCATTTTTTTTTTTTTTAACGTAAATGCTATAATTTCAGAAGTTTCGGGACACTCCGATGTGGACCTACTGCTTTGCAATCCATGCAAAAAAAAAAAATAAAATCTATTTCGTTTTATTTCATTAAAATGTCTTCAATAATTTTTCCTTACTAAATCGGCTCCAAAAAATATTTAGCCAACCATAAAAGTCCATATCTAGTCAACCCAAATTCAAAATGCAATGAATTCAATAGCATATATTTCTTAAATCTTAAATTAATAATTATTTTATTTTTCGTTTTTGTGCATCCTAAGACAAGATTTTGTAACCAGTGCGTGCATTACATTTTAGAACATCATGATGTTTTTAAAAATCACCCTGTTCTCACATAAGATGACGATGGTCATTGGTCACAAATAACATTATTATCTTGCACTAAACCTTCATTTAGAAAATATATAAAGAGGAATTTTAGTGGATTCTATGACATATATAGATAATAATGAGCAGTAATAATAAATGTGTACTTGAAATTAGTGTTTGACTTTATCTTGAACTCAATTTATAAACCGTTTATTATGCATATATACTTTAATAGTGTATCTTTCTGGCATTCATTTCTCAAGAAAGAAGAAAAAACATTGTTTTAAATAGTGAATTTTTGGAGAATGTGTGGTTAAAAATTAGGGAAAATTTTGGATTTACGTATAAAATATTTTATTATATGAATTCACGGTTGGATATCAGTATGTAGAAAAAATAGTTTTGAAAAAATGAAAGACAAACATAAACTTAATTGCCTCTCATTTTCCCATAATTGCTGTTAGCCTCTCCCTCTTTCTCTACTAACATTTTTTTCATCATTTTCCTGAGAGAGAGAGGCATGAAGAGAGAATCAAATGGAAAAAGATATATTAATTTGAAGAGTAATGCTAGCTATTCGTAGTGAAAATTATTGATAGTTGTCCTACAGACATGTACGTGACGGTTTGTAATTTGATGCGTTCATATGATATTTTTTTATTCATTCAGGTATCAAATCACAAATCGTCGCATATATGCCACGTAATATTCTTTACTATGAGTAGCATTATGTTAGTTTGAATATTGGTTGGTTCATGAATCCGATAAACACCCAAACACACAAAAAGCAAAGGGGCTATGTGGGTTTTGTGACACGTAGCATGTGACGTGTTAACCATTGGCTTCTCAAAATAAAATAAATAGGGGTGAAAGCAAGAGCTCTCAATTCGATCTCCATTACTTACATTTCCCTCCTCACATTTTCCTTTCCCTTGTATCATTTTCCTTCTTAACAATGGCTGCACAAACTCCCAATGGAGAACTATCCAATAACTCTTCTTTGGATTCCAATTCTATCCTGTCCTCTTCTTATCCAATTACCCTTAAGGTAAACATTTTACATATATACACATACTTATATATCTATTATGCACGTATAAATCACCGATCAAATGTTCACAAAGTCTGTAGTATTGTACTGGTCTACTGGATAATATTAATAAATAAAATCTCATTAATTAGGGTGTTTTGAGTTTTGTAAAGTGGGCTTGACACTATTCCAAGAAGTAAAAAATTTATGGACGATTTTTTCTTGTTGTCGTTGATTATGCTGTCGAGTCGAGTAACATGCATCGAGGATCTAGTATAACTAATGTATGTATGGTTTCTTGGGGTGGTTTCATGCAGTTTATCGAAGTAAGCTACAGAGTAAAACTGGAGAATAGCAATGAATTTAGAACAACTAGCCTGAGGAAGATGTTTACAGGTGGACCCACATCATCATCTGATGTTGAGAATCAGACGGCCAGGATTAATCAAGAACGAAAAATCTTAAATGGGATCACGGGCATGGTGTCTCCAGGACAAATCCTGGCCGTCCTTGGCCCCTCCGGCAGCGGAAAATCAACGCTCCTTAATGCACTAGCCGGCCGGCTCCACTATGGACACGGCCTCACCGGTTCAATCCTTGCCAACAGCAAGAAATTAACCAAATCGACCCGAAAAAGAATCGGGTTCGTCACTCAAGATGATGTTCTGTTACCGCACTTAACAGTTCGTGAAACCCTAATTTTCTGCTCTCTGTTAAGGCTACCAGCTTCTCTATCCAGAAATGAGAAAATTTCCATGGCGGAATCGGTGATTCGCGAACTGGGTTTGGCTAAATGTAAGGATACAATTATTGGGAACAGTTTTATTCGAGGAATTTCAGGTGGTGAAAGAAAGAGAGTAAGCATAGCACATGAAATGCTAATAAACCCTAGTTTGTTAATTCTTGACGAGCCGACGTCGGGATTGGATTCCACGGCGGCGTTCCGACTGATGACGACGCTGGGGTCACTAGCGGATAAGGGGAAAACGATAGTTACCTCGGTGCATCAGCCGTCGAGCCGAGTTTACCAGTCGTTTGACTCGGTGGTGGTTTTGTCAGAAGGGAGGTGTATATATTTTGGTAAAGGAAATGAGGCCATGAATTATTTCGAATCTGTTGGGTTCTGCCCTAGTTTTCCCATGAATCCAGCTGATTTCTTGCTTGATCTGGCAAACGGTACGCCCCTATTCTGTCTCGTATAATTAGTAGGTTGAATTCGATAAGACTCTATATATGTATTCCGTATCTCGAACATACATTGAATGTGTCATGACGTTGGATGACATATATAGAAGGTCAACACCTGATTTGTTGTAGAGACAGATGCATTTTGGTTAGAATGCTCTGTATATGTCTGAGTCGAACGGGATAAGATTGATAGTAATTTGAATTCAACATATTGAACATATCCGTTAGGAAGTGTGTGATTAAAGTATTATTATTTGTGTTAGAAGAATGTAGGGCAGGAAAGTTGACTTTAATTAATGAGGTCTTTTATGTGAATACTAGCCGTTAAATTTTAACTCATTAAAGGCACAACTAACCCTATAGCTTTTAGTTAATGAAGTAAAATTTTAGGTACCATACATTAATGTTACTAGTTTTCTTCGCCATCTTACGACACTTTAGGTTAGCCGAACAGGCTATATATGGTCCAGAATAAAATGGTTGACCATTTGTAGAGTTGTGAAGTTGAACCAAATTTATTAGATGAGTTTGACTCGACATGTCAAAAGCTATAAATCGTACTTAAAACTTTATATGCATTAGTTTTGCACATACATTAACCTTGCAAATGACTTTGATCAAGACATCTAGTTAAGGCATCCCATTGGTCCACCTCCGCCAATGGTAGTGGTGGAGTGGCAACGGCCACGGTGGTGGATGGCGGTGGAGATTTCTTTATGATATGGTGAGATGGAAAGGTGGAGACTTTGGACAAAAGTGATTTGATACGTACTGGCTTCTGCATCTTGAGGCTACAGTGCTTTGGAATGTAACTTTCATGTACACCACGTGGCTAATAGCTAGTGACCCTCCGTCTTTTGTTTGCTTTTTTGCTTTTGCACTTGAGGTCTTGAGCCAATAGTTTTATCAAATTCTTTTATGCCCATTATTTTTTTTGTTATATTGTCACTAGATAAGACTAGATATAACAATAGATGAAAATAAAGCACTTAAAAAAGTTGACAAGTTGCCATGAGTGCTATCGGGTTGGACGAGCCAACAACTTGAAGATATTAACTCTTTCGAGAACCAGTAATGCGTAAATCATGTTAAATCAAGATCAATCAATATCCGAACGGTTACCCTTAGGCTTACTGTATCTAGTGTGTTCAGGAATTGATCATTGACAAGTTATATTCAATAATACTAAACGGACTAAGGAAAAAGAACGTGTTGAAACTCAATTCTTTTTAAGATTGGATTGATTGGTCGATTTAGCCATAAAAAGCAAGGAATCGGTCTGTTAAGGGATAAAATCACACATTGAATAAAGATGAAAATATATATCAATTTATAAGAGTTTGGATTACTCCTCTTAATATAGTTGACCTTTTAAGATGAAATCTCAAATCTTAACATGGTATCAGAGCCCGTTAAACTCCAACGAGCAATTCGATCCGATTAAAACTCAAAAAAATTGAGCACACAGATTTCAAGATTGGTCTGCTCAAACGAGCCAACATCTTGAGGGGGTATGTTAAGAGATAAAATCTCGTATCGAATAAATATGAAAATATAAACCAATTTATAAAAATTTGGACTACTCCTCCTAATAAGGTTGGTCTTTTAAGATAGAATCTCAAATCTTAACACGGTCGATTACAAGTCAAAATAATTTAAGAACCAGCCAATTAGCAACCTACAGCAACCCAATTCCCCAAATTCGCTGGTTTATACGCATTGATCCTTTATCTTTTTAGGTTTCTGGTGAGTAATTTTGAAAGACTACTAAATGGTCATGGCCAAGCCCAGGCAGTCGATATGTCTGTGGAATGCCGTCGCCCTGATTGTGGCGGATAGGGCGTGCCCTCGGCGTGCTTCGGCATCTGCGCGCTCCCAGTGCTGGCCTGCGGGCTCCCCATTCGAACCGTCTTGAAACACGGACCAAGAAGTCTGACATGTGTGTGAGTCAACGGGCGAGTAAACCCGTAAGGCGCAAGGAAGCTGATTGGCGTGATCCCCCCGAGAGGTGCAACGTCGACCGACCTCGATCTTCTGAGAAGGGTTTGAGTGTAAGCATACTTGTCGGGACCCGAAAGATGGTGAACTATGCCTGAGCAGGGCGAAGCCAGAGGAAACTCTGGTGGAGGCCCGCAGCGATATTGACTTGCAAATTGTTCGTCTGACTTGGGTATAGGGGCGAAAGACTAATCGAACCATCTAGTAGCTGGTTCCCTCCGAAGTTTCCCTCAGGATAGCTGGAGCTCGGGTGCGAGTTCTATCGGGTAAAGCCAATGATTAGAGGCATCGGGGGCACAACGCCCTCGACGTATTCTCAAACTTTAAATAGGTAGGACGGCGCGACTGCTTCGTTAAGCTGCGCCACGGAATCGAGAGCTCCAAGTGGGCCATTTTTTTGAAAATAAGACCCTTGTATTCTTCCTATTTTCATTTATAAGAGAATATATTACATGGAATTGACTCAATTATTAGATTTTTAATCTATAATCAAGATCTTTCTTTTTTCTAGAGAAAGAGTTCTTTCCCGTTTTGATCTCAATGATCTATTAATTCTTTTATTTGACTGTGGAAGTTAAAAAGAGAGGCGAGTTCTCAATCTAATTAACTCTTTTCGTTGCATGTTTACTTATTTCATATTTGACTCTTAACCCATTTCATCGCTCTTTACCTAACAAAAGTCTTATAACCATTTGAATATATTATCGTTGAAACGAGATTTTCAAAGTTACACGTCACTCCATATTTTTGTGTTAAGACCATTAAAATAAGTTGCCATTCTATCCTTTTCTTCAAGAATAGAATGGTGGGACATGTCACTAAACCAAATTTTATTGCAAAATAATGATAGAATATAATAGTTGGTGGGCATGACCATTTGACTTACAATAGGTTTAATTTGTTGTTGGACAACAAAATGATTATAACATTGGATTAAGGAAAATATGACAACATTCCTGACGTAAGATAGCATATGAAATTTGTCATGATGCTATATATATATATATACACAGAAATGATCTAATGAGCACCGTTGCTCGTTGGCACATTAATTCATTGGTGGATTGGAACTCACAAAATCTTTATCCACTAATGAATTAATGTGCCAACTCATCGGTGCTTAGGATAAGATGGGCACCGGTGCTCATTAGATCATTTCTGATATATATAATACTTTCACTATAGTACGTTGCTAAGGATAAGATGGGCACCGGTGCTCATTAGATCATTTCTGATATCCCTCGCTCTAGATAATTATTAAATAAATATTTGATTTAGTTAGAGGAGTAGGTTGCTAAGCCTCTCGGTCTGTCCGGACAAAATTGAAAAAACATTAAAAAAAAAATGTGTTGGCCCGATATATTGAAAATATAAGATGAGTTGGCTCTGTTACAATCCACCTCTAGACACGGTCGAGACTTCTGATTGAGTAGCACTTGTCGCACTTTAATATCTTGAAAAACATATTATCTAAAAATCTATTTCATACTTTATTTCTTTTCTTTTCTTTTATTTATACGAAAAACATTTTTGGTTTTAAATTGGACAATGTGTTAAAGGACCATAGGGTGATTTCCACCAAATATTGTATGTGATTAAATAACGAAATGAATGAAGTGGAGATGGTGGTCCAAATCCATCACCAACATTAAGTTGAGTGGACAACTTTAATTCTTGCTACTTAGCAATAATTATCGAAAGATTATGTTATAAATAATTGATGGATAAATTAAAGAAAAAACGACTAATGCGTTCAGCGAAGGAGACTCTTATAGTTAGTAAAACGGGTTAGAACGAGGAAGTAGACCAAGTCCATAACTTGGCTTGTTGTGGTTAGTTCGGGTTTTGGTGTTGATGCAGTGATGAATCAAATTGAATGCAAAACACGATTAATGTAATCGACTCTAAATCTATTGAGAATAAGAATTAATTTATTGTTAAGTTGTTGTAATTGATGCGGTCGTATACCATTGCACGGCTCGCTTGGTAAGGCATGTTATTTATTATTAGATAATACGAAGGATAAAAGAGTTAAAAAAAGTCATTTATTATACTGTTCGTTATTTTTGTAAGAACTTTTGTACCCGATATGCTGATTAAACCCTTTTCCATGTGTAGGGGTGTGCCAACTTGATGGGATAAGGGACAAAGAGAAGCCTAATGTGAGGCAAAACCTAGTATCCTCTTATAATGCTGTGTTGGCCCCAAAGGTGAAGGCAGCATGCTTGGATTCCACAAGTACGGCAACAAAAGAGATGGTGATTGTGGGAAAACACACTTGTGGTTACAAACAGAGTTTTTCGACGTGGTTTGACCAGTTTATTATTCTCCTCCAACGAAACATGAAAGAAAGAAAGCACGAAACATTTAACCCTCTAGGAGTTTTTCAAGTGATCGCGGCCTCATTATTAGCTAGTTTCATGTGGTGGCACTCTGATTATCGGGATATTCAGGATCGTTTAGGGCTTCTTTTCTTCATTTCTATCTTCTGGGGTGTTTTTCCGTCTTTCGGTGCTGTGTTTGCATTTCCTCAAGAGCGAGCCATTTTCGTCAAGGAAAGAGCTTCGGGTATGTATACACTATTGTCCTATTTCCTGGCCCGTATTACGGGGGACCTACCGATGGAGATGATTCTCCCCATATTATTCCTTGCAATAGTGTATTGGATGACCGGGCTAAAACCCGAGCTGTGGGCATTTCTGCTAACCCTAATTGTGCTGCTCGGTCATGTGCTTGTATCTCAAGGACTCGGCCTTGCTCTCGGTGCATTGATCATGGATGCCAAGAAGGCTTCGACTGTGGTAACTGTCACAATGCTAGCATTTGTTTTAATAGGAGGATTCTACGTGCACAAGGTACCAGCCTTCATGTCATGGTTTAAGTATATTTCGACCATATTTTATAGCTATCGGCTTCTAATCTACGTCCAATATGGAGATGGGAAACAAATTTCCTCATTGCTCGGTTGCTCTATTAATGATGTCCGAGAAAAAGCAAGCTGTAAATTTCTTAGCCAAGACATCGTAGGACAAATGCATCCAGCAATGAGTGTTGGCATTTTGCTCATCATGTTTGTAGGATATCGAGTATTGGCCTACATTGCGTTGTGGCGCATCAGAGCTTGAAAAATTTGTGTCGGGATGTTGAATCATGCTCTCCTAAGGCTTTCGATAACCAGAAAAGCAAACCGATGATTGATCGATTTGTTGATTTGTTGTACTAATACGGCTATTGGATTTGCGCTAGCTTCATCGCTTAATCAGGATGAAAGTAGGTTGAAAATGACTGAATGTGCAGAAATATTAAGAATTTAAGAGGCTAGATCCTGGGTGTGTTTTACTTGCAATTGCAAGAGTTGCAACATGTAATTTCATTTAGGCCGTGTTTGATAGGTCACATATTTCGGGGAAGTAGGAAAATATTTTCCACTTTTCACTTTTTTGGCTGTTTAATAGGCGAAATTTTCCATGGAAAATATTTTCCGCATTTTCTCCACACATGTGCAATTTTCGGGTTTTTGATGAAAATGTTTTCCCGCCTTTTTGGTGGGAAAATATTTTCCAGCCTGACTGGAATTTTTTTTTTTTTTTTT